CCTCCGAGATATGAGCAAAAACGGGACGGAAAACATGAAATTTTGCAATAATCTTGCGCCACCCTTGCACAAAACGACAATAATTTTTCTAATTTCATAGACAACAGAAGACTGTATTTTTTCTACATAATCCCCCCTGAATTTAAAGCTGGATCCGCCCTTGGTTGGAACACCTTCTTAGTCCCATTCCACGCTCCACCAGAGACTCAAATACAAACAAAACAAACTCCAGTCAAAGTGAAAATGTCGGACGGGACATTTCTGATTTCCATTGCAGGACAAATCGAATATTTGGACGTTATGTCGGCTGCAGGATCGGCCTATCATTGCAAATACGAATTCCATGCAGGCCCAGACTGGACAATAGTCGGAGGCCTCGAAACGGGGCTCTCTCAAATCGCTAACGTCGTTAACAATAACGATAAAGTTGTCTTCAACTTTCCGGTAGACCTGCAGTTCAAGAGCACAAATCCTTTCGGCTGTAAGAGGTAGAATAGACTCGTTAGATGTACAGGTGAGTGCTGAATGGGGCATTTTAGGGCCTCAGATGGTGATCAGCGTTTACAAGGAAATGCGCTTAGAAGGTTATGGGAGGACTCACATGCCCATCAAGCCGGGAAATCACCACTTGGAGGTAAATTTGGCCAGACCGAAAGCGTCTTCACTCTTGGGGTACCTTGGAACGTTTTTCGGATATCAACCACAACTGCTGCAACCCAAACTTCTCGCCAGTACTGCAGGGAGTAACTGTAAGTGTTTTATATGTAAAGAAAAATATTGTTGAAGATGAAACCGCAAAAATATGGGCAAAACGTTGGAAATTTAAAAAAATGCTTGTTTTTGCATCAATATTTCAGTAATTAGAATGGAAACTAGTGGAAAAGCTCACATGACGTTCAACATAGTGAGCCAGGGTTTTTTGCGGCTGGGATACGACTATGGACGAAGCGCTAGGGAATAGGTAACCCCTCCGAGGGCCAATGCAGCATTCTCATTTCTTGTATTTTATTACATAAACTTTACTATACAGTCAAACTTATTATTGAACCTAAATAAAATCAAAATAAATATGTATTTAGAGTGAAAGAAAAAAGTGATAGAGTATAAAATGTACAGAAAAATTAGCAAAAATAATCAAATCGACCTAAAAACTATACAATTCCTATTCTCGAACATCGATGTTGAAACTTTTAATTTTATTGTACATACGGGACTGTTTGCTGCTTCCTTTGCTGCGGTGCCCCAGTATGTAAAAAAGCTAAACATCAACGTATATTACATTAGAACGTACATGAGTAATAAAGGTGCATATGGAGGATTTAATTTAATATACAATACACACTTTGCATGGTCTCAACAGGAGTACCGTTAAAGTGCACTTTGTCGATTTATTGATTCAAAGCCCAAAAACCGACAAGGATGTTCATCTATTTTAAGTCATATTAAATGGTTACACAAACCTGGGTGCACAGAAAATGTCCCGTTGGGGGGCCACTGGGGAGAAACATGTTTTTTTGTCAAAATCTGCATTGGTAACTGCGACCCCCATTCAACTGGACACTTTCCGTCGTCCCGTTTTTTCTATTGCGGAAACCATTCACGCGCAACTCACATTAGTCAAGCATCATATCAAATGATTCTTTGGCAGTTATTCAACATCATATTTGCCTCAACTGTACAAAAGTTTATAGGATGCAGTAAAAATGTACATCTTCCAATCTACCTATATTGTAATTACATTTAGAAATGTTTTTCGGGCTTTGAAGCCGTGGTCCATGGGACTGCCTCATCGCCTTTGATAATGTCTACCGCAGTTGTGGACGAAACGTCAGGAAGAAATTCCGATAGACCACGGCTTCAAAGCCCGAAAAACATTTCTAGATGTGATTCAACCGGCCGTGAAAGCCTTCACAGTCTATATTGTAATTGTTATTATGTAAATTAATGCGCGAATTCAAGCTACATAAAGAATTGAGCGAACAAGATTTTTCAATTGATGGCTACACTTAGCGTCCAACGAAAAACACACCAATTACGGCACTCAAGTGAGTGTAAGGGGATGAAAAGTGAGCAAATTTGCATCAATTTTGATTTATCTACCTATTCGATGGAAATAGAGTTATTCACATGGGGAAAACTGTTTATTCAGACTTCTCCTCAATGTGCCCGATTTGCTTAAACAATCCGTGATAGAACATGCTGAGCGTATTTACATTTTGAGTACTAGAAAAAATTATGTACAATGTTTGGGTTCGAAAGTTTTCCAAATGTAAAAAATCTAGCTGCACTTGTACTAAAGTGTCTGCTTGGTAAAGTCGAAGTTGGTAGTCAGTTATTGTTCCCCGTTGCTTAACCAATTCAAAGTGCATCGGTACATCAAACATTTAAAGCGGGAAGCTGTGCCGGAAAAGAAACTTGGCGAAAATGGAATGAGTCTTATCAGTCATTTTTGGCACAACTTATTTAATCATATAGCTAAGAGATTCAAGCTAGGATTTACTTTAACTACAATCGGCGAGCGAACCGGTTCAATTCAATTTACCAATAAATCTAAAAGGCGTTTTTAGGCGCGCCGAGAACAGTTGCAACCCGTGAAGGACATTTTTCGTCAATCAGCAGCTACCGACTGCGCCATTGAGCTCAAATTTCAATAAAAATCACCGCGCTTTGAGTCCTGAAACTTTAACAAGCGTGCTAAACCGTTCAAAAGCCCCAAACAAAAACACACCTAATTGATCTTGCTTTGGATTATTGACAGGAATTTGCTTGGGTTCACTATAAACTAACTCTAATTACTAAGGGAGGAAATAAACGTGTGAATTCCGGTGCTATGGATTGTTCTGCATGCCTGCATTTCCCAAATATAAACTAAACGAAACCTGGTTATGCAAAACGGCCAGTCTTAGTAGGCAGGTACTGATCGTTCTGCATAAAAATCGATGTTGAGACTAAACTCATCAAGTTACACGCACTGTTGGTCCAGCTTAAAGACTTCAGCAATGAAACCTTTAGAAGACACGGATGCAGGTGCAAGGAAGAATAATCTCAACATGGTAAAACGAAACGAATTGACCAACCACATCAATCTACAGCTCGGTAACAGCATAGAGCTGGCGCTCATTCTCGCTGTTAGCGTACAAATCGTCACCCGGAGCCTGTTGCTGGTCCTGGATCTTAACGGATCGGAACTGAGCGTGCCCACTTCCGATCTGAGCGCCATTGTTGCGCTGCAGGGAACGGAACTGAGCTGCAGGCTGGAAGCTGCTGACGGAGTCCTGCCATGCGCCCCTTTGCAGAGATCTGCAAAGCAACGATTCGATCGCGTTTCCTACAGAATATTTAAAACTCTTCGCACCTAAAGCTGTTTGGGTTCAGCGGTGTCTCGGAAATGGTACCGGAAATGGTGATGGGTACTTTGGGCATCGGGGGCTTGCTTCTCGCCTTTTCGTCGGGGATTTGTGGCAACGGACGTCTGCCTAGGGACGAGTACTTGCCAAGAGTGGCGGTGCGTTGTAGCTCGTGGCCCTGCACCTGTTGCTGCTGGTTCTTTGGCTGTTGTGCGTTGCCACCTTGCTGCGGTTGATGTTGCTGGTCAAACGTAAAACCTTTAAAGTTTGGGAAGTCTTTGCAGGCATGCCTGAAAAATAACAAGCAAAAGCGAATGTTGCCACGTCTGTAATGCGATTTCCAGTCTGACCTGTCTCAGTAGAAATCTGAGCTTTCCAGTGTCTTGCACTGTTTGCTCAGAGTGGCGTATTTGCCATTATTTGGCCCGCTGACCGACTCGTGGTGATGGTGATGGGAGGGCAGGCGCCCCAAAGTGTGGCCACGCAAATGCGCCATTTGGGCGGCCCCTCTGTGATGTTCCTGAGCTCTGGTGTCGCACCCATCCCTGCAAAGAACTCTCTGTTAGAATCCACTTTCAACACTCAAAAAGACCCTTAACTATTCCAAATTTTTAGCTCTGAATGAGGCATTTTTAAGTCAAATTTTAATTGAGTCGATCATTCAAAGCGCCAATTTTGATGCACCTACAGTAGTCTACTGTGCGCTATGCCAACGACAATGAAAAGTACAAAATGTAAAACAAAATGACTACATGCGAATAATTGGCGATAAAAATAACATTGTCCTGGACCAGGCTTTCCCAAACTTTTTCTGCAATGGAACACTTCGCAAACCCAGAAATTTTAACGAAAACATTATGATTTAAACTCGTTATTAACTCAGTAATTATTTTCAAATGGATTAAATCCACATACATGCAGAGTGTCCCGTAAGCCCATGATCAAACGAGCACTGATACATTATTTGACTCAAATTATAAGTTTTTTTAAGAAAAGTGTATGACTCGTCCGGTTGGCTGAAAACTGGCTGTGAATATGTTCCTTTTTCACGAAGCAACTGAGTCCATCGTCTTTGGGCAAGTGGTCAATTCTTGCGTGTCTTGGTGTAAAAACTACCAGAACTTGTTCTTTGGGGGCTGGAATTAACTGATTTTTTTTTGAGCTAATACACTAATCCTTTTTGAACATTTTTGGGGTCTTTATAAAATCTTGTAGCGTTCGCAGGAATAAAAGTTAGGACAGATCGTCCTCTTTTGAGCCGAAGACTGTCGCAGACACCGTTTGATCATGTGCTTACTGGACACCCTGTACAATATAATATCACTCGCTTTTCAATGCGATGTAAAAAATCTTCAAATAAACCTTTTTTTAAAGAATTTTTGATTAAAATTTGCCAATTTTGCAAAAGAAATTGCCAGAGACGCTCTAAAAGTCTTCACGGCTGGACAGATATTGTCAACTACTCGCATTTTTGGAATTTCTGATCAAACCGTAATAGAAAAGCTTATTAGGACTGAACCGGCATTAAAAACCGTTCCTGAGATTCGGGCTTTGAAACTTCAGCGGCTCTTTTTACTGATTGGGGGTAAAACCTTAACGCCCAAAAAGAATATACTTCCGTTTCTGAGAGACGCGCTTTTAACACAGTTTGAGAAACCCCGCTGGACACGTTGACTGGTCTAAATGAAACTGAATTAAAAAGAAATAATAAAGGTATGTGTACAGCAAAAGGTCGGCCTCATGCACGGGCGCGGAGGCGGCAACATGCATGGGAGGCGGCCTAAGGAGGGCGGCGTGTGCATAACTAGGCGGAGGAGTATCTGGGGGAGCCCCAGGGAACTGCCCTTGGCTTCTCTGCAAGGTTCTAGCCGCAATCGCCTGAGTCGCCGCCGGTGGAGGCAAATACGGATCGGCCTCGTTCACTTGCTGGTAGTCTTTCCTGGAACAAGACATCAATAGTGAGTATCCAGGCAAAATCTGCAGTGGTGGTAAATTACTTTTTCCTGATGTAAATCCAGGTATGAGAGTCAACCCACACCAAAACAGTCATCAGAAGGCCGGCCAGAACAGCCGAAATGAGCATGTAGGTGAGCCCCAACAGACCCAGGTTGCAAAGAGCTCGGGTGCCGCGCAAATAGTGAGTGTAGAGTGTTCTGCAGTCGACCAATGCTGTTAACTGGGTCCCAATGGTATCGGCTGTGTTGATTTCGTTCTTCAACGAACTGAACTTCTGTTCCAGCCCTGAGGACAACAAAGGCTCAGCACCCAATATTATAAACACGCTGCCACATTACCTTTATTGGGAAACAATTTGACGGCCTTCGGTTTGATCAAGCTGAGTTCGATGCGCATATTCTCCAAAGTCGTTTTCGCTTCGCGCAGCCGCTGCGTGAACGGATTAGCGCGCGCTCTTTCGCAATTCAAATAATGGCGCAGAATCTCTCTGGATAAATCAGCGCTGGCTTGGTTTTCGATGAATTTTTCCGGCGCCATGCAGAAATCCGCCAATGCCACTGTCGAAGCTGCAAGGAAGTACAGTGGAGATTTTGTTTTATTATTGCCAACTTGCTCCTTACCTAAATACACACTAGACAACAGAAATGAGGCAATAACGGCCAGAAGACCGCACACTGAAAACGCTATTAGGGCACATCGGTTATGCCTGGCCACTCCCACGACGAGAATCACGCAAAGAATTAACAAAATGCTGAGTATTGTCATTGTGAACGGCCACCGGATGGTTTCCAGTTTCTCCCCTGTTTCGATCTTCGGAATGATATCCAACGCCATCAAGGGAGTCCTGAAATTGGCCAAAGTCCTCAGTCGCATGAAGCTTTCCAAGCCAATAGTCGCCCAATTACCTGATATCGGAAGCTGCGTTTGCAGCCTGCGTGTTGTTGTCCATCAGCCTCTTGAAATGGCCCTCAACTTCTTTAAGCGCACTGATATTGCTGACTGGCGGCACATCAAAAATTGTCCTGCAATTGATTGAAGGTTGCAATGAAAAATCGCCAAGCGTTGAGGAAAACTGGGGAATACCTGATGACAGCAAAATCGGCTTTAGCTTGCACTCTGAGCTGTCGTTCAATGGCCTCAGTCTGATTCCGGATTTTCTGTACCAAGCCATCGATTTGCCTCGCTTGGTTCAGGGCTTGCACCACGCCGTTGTGCAGATCGTCATTTCCATACAAACCCAAGCCAACCTATTACGAGGAAGCATTAAATTTAATTCGAAAAATATATAAATTGTTCACTTACCACTCCACAGCAGAGCACCGACATAACAGCCAAGGTGATTTTGAGGGCCGAAATCGACTTGGCAGGTCGTGGCTTTCGGTCGCAACATCTAGTCAGCAGATACAGCAGTAGGATGAAGAGAGTGAAGATTAACCAGGCTGCTGGTACTGATGCCAAGATCCCTAAACTCTGCAAGAAACAGCAATATTTCACTTCAAGTCAAGCAAAAAACAATCCAGCAACCACATTCTTTGAATGGAAAATGTAGCAACGAACATTATAAAAGCCATCAGCCGACAGGAAGGCCGCCGTTCCACAGGTCCTTTGAATTTCCTGGGTTTCGTAGCGGAATCGGCCTCCGCATACTAATCAGGGTTTGTTAAAGGGGCCCTACTGCCTTTGTATTCATTCAAAACAACCACTTGGATATTCTATTGAACATTTTTCAAGATTGGATGTGTCTTATGATTGAGGCGGCGGAGCGTTGAAAATCAATTGTTTATTCAAAGTCAAAATTGGTAAGAACTATGGAACCCTAAAAATTAAGTAAGAGTGCAACAACTGTGCAACAAATTTCTACAGTTTTCCCTTTAACAATGAGTGTTAGCTTTTATTTGTTGCAGTTAAAATTTATTTTGTCGCAAAAATTTGTAGAGAACGGCAACGACGTTCGCTATTAGTTCAATTTTTTTTCGGAACTTGTAGGTATTTACGCCAGTAAATATTTCTCGCAAAATTGTTCTTATCAAAAAA